CCGGTCGTAAATTTTGATTGTCGATATGTATTATCATGTACATATCATTCCTTTTTTATTTGCACAATGACATTATTTCTTGATTAGGGTCTTAACCGAGACTGGTGTAAGCCCGAAAGAACCAAAGAACCATGACTTGAAAGTAACGTCAAATGATAGCACGCTCTCGATACCGGGACATCTTTACAACGAAAATAATTACTTGATGTTCGTGTTCGGGATCACGAGACTATTTGTTGATCTTAATTAATGATAATCACACGATAAACTAGTCTGTATACCAGATAAACTAAATAAAACTTTTCCATCTTATCAAATCATGGAAATTAATGTCCGGGAATCCAACGTTTCTCGTAAAACTAACGAAACGGATATAACCATACAATTACTACTCGACAGCACTGAGAATCAATCAATATCAGTTCACACTGGCATAGGCTTCTTGGATCATGTAATTGTCGCGAACTGTATCAAGTCGAATGATTGAAATGTATACAGCGTGTATTTATTAGGCTGTTTGTCGTCGATTTTAGATGTACCATGCTTTAGCAAAGCATTCTGGATGGACTCTGCATCTTCAATGCAAGGGAGATTTACATATCGATGACCATCACACCGCAGAGGATACGGCAATCACGCTTGGTATGGCCTTTAAACAAGCTTTGGGTATACTACGTGGAATAAAGAGATTTGGATATGCCTATGCACCATTAGACGAGGTCTCCGTATACAATATCTATCATATGCTATGTGTAATTTATCATCGGTAAACGATGTTGACATATCGGTTTGTTTCATTGTCGTTTCCTAGGCCCTCTCGCGCGCGGTAGTCGACATCTCTGGAAGACCATTTGCAAATGTTAATCTCAATTTAAAGAGGGAAAAGATAGGTGATCTATCAACAGAGATGCTTCCCCACGTTTTATCATCATTTGCAACGTCTGCTGGAATTACGCTACATGTCGATGTACTCAAAGGGGAGAATGATCATCATAGGTAGGAAAGATTGGTGGTGTACCGAATGGAGCACGGACAATGAATGTGAAACATTAACATACTTTTTATGATACATAACTGAAAACCGTGATGGTGACGATTTCATATGTATATGCAGAGCAGAATCGGCTTTCAAAGCTCTCGCTTTAGCCATAAAACAGGCCATACAGAAAACTGGAACAATCGATGTTCCTAGCACAAAAGGCATCTTGTAATAATGTACACTGTTAACAAGATGCGTGATAATAAATTTCCGAGAGCAATTAATACCGATAACTATCATTCCTCTCTAGATTTGAAGTCACTAATTTAATAAAAGTTGGTAAATATGCACATGTTCATTCAAAAACTATTTGCACATACAACGTGTAACTCAAGTCGCTTGTACCTATTCAGTAACCTACAGTACGACTATTCAGTCTTCTCCAAAGCGTTCAGTCTTTCTGGAAGAGGTGGATGGGAGAAGTGGTATTTCGAATACCAATCATCGTTATTTATATTTGTTAGATTCTTGAGTTGGATTTTAATAAGCCCGGAGCGCAACTGAGCACCGAATCCTAGCTTTTTGGCATATGCATCTGGAATTATCGAATATGCAGTAATTAGCTATCGAAAAAATTATACAACTCGAAATCCTTCACAACTGTACTAACCAGCCTCAAATTCGTGCTTCCTGCTGAGAACGTTCATTAAGAACGTTGTCACAGTCTCGACGGGTGCATATATTGATTGGAATAAGAATAATCCAATTAACACTGGCATGGTGGTGAAGCCGAACGATTCATAAAGCGCTTTATTGTTTATGAATTGAGAAAACACATAGAACAGCATGAATATCTGTGCTTGTGATATTACTAGGACTTTTACAGT